TTAGATGCAAATGGAGAGCCCTCCAACTGCCCACCAGCCTCCTGAAGTCATGTTTGTTGCAGCTCCAAAGTGTGCTGCATGTGTCTTTAGGACTCAGACAGTGGACAGAGGAAGCTGCGCAGGCACTCAGGCCAAAGCCACTAGGGGCCCACGGCCTGCCCTTTAGGTTAATGGAAGGTCCTATTCATGTGTCCCTATCTTCTGCCTCTCTCCTAAATGCTCTGCATGTCACAGGGTGGATAGCCCTCTGCCTGGAAGTGTTTTCTGCAACAAAGGCAAACATGCCATGCCTGTCACCAGGAGCAGACTGGAGACTGTGTAAACCACTCCGTGAGAGGGAGGCTGAGGGGCTCCAGGCCATTCAGACTTAGCTCTAAGTTGTGGTCTTTGTTTTCGTTCCACATTCAGACTGAAATGTGATTCCCCTGGCTTTCTTTTTTGGAAAATACCTGCGATGAGTTCCATGCAGGGAAAGAAAAGCTGTTGACAGGAAAAGCTTCTGACAGGGAAGGGGCTTCTTTAAGTGTTCTGAAAGGAGACAGTTGCTTCAAGCAAGATGAGGCAGGGATGCCAGGACCAGGTACAAGAGGCCCAGAACATAAAAGAGTCACCTTTAACTATAAAGAAAACTGAGTGTCAACAGTTTCCCCTGTGAGAGCAGTATCATGCACTGCACACGGACTTTTGGGCCAGGTAGACATGCTTCTGAGCCCTTCTCTGCCACTTACTACGTGATCTTGGGCAAGTTGCTTAAACTCCCAGAACATGAGTTTTCTGAAGTTGTGCAAAATAAAAGAGATAATACGCATGTAAAGCACATAACTCTAACCTAGTACAGAGTAAGGATTCTATGTGAGTTATTTGTTATTGCTTGATAATAGTAATCCTTGACAAAACACTAATGATGTTCCCTCTATGTGCCAGGCCCTGTGCAAGGGACAGTGCCTGCTCCTTGACCTCGTGGAGGTCATTGTTTAATAAATCATGTACACATATCTTTAGCACAAAGCAAACCCTCCCTGCAAATGCCCTAGGAGAAATGCCAATTGCACACTAACTCTGCTTTGCTGAGTAGCTCAGAATCCTGTGTGCAGGGGGTCCCCACAATAACACGAAGGGGGTCACCTAAACCAGTGAGGTAGTTTCCAACAGCCCCCATACGGGTGCGGGGAATCCCAAGGGAGAAAGAGACATGGGGCACCCTTGACCTGTGGGGTGTATATCTTTGTCTGTACACGTTAGTACATGCGTAAGCTTCTTGACCTCGTGGAGGCTGTTGTTGAATAGACCATGTATACATACCTTTAGCACAAACCAAACCCTCCTACTCTCCCTGCAAGTGCCCCAGGAGAAGTGCCATTGAACACTAACTCAGCTTTGTTGAGTAGCTCAGAAACCTGCAGTCATCTCCCTTTGAGCAGCCCTCCAAACTTAGCTACCTCTACTTTCAATTTACCCAAAGTTTTCTGTGCATTTATCATATTGAGTTTCAGTTGTCTGTTTATGCTTTGTCTCCTTCTGTGAGTCCTAAAGGGTGGGGATCATCTAATCATTTGACTCATATATCTAATCATTTATTCATCTCTTAGGCCAATGGTCTCATGGGTTACTCAGCACAGCCATACAGAGGATTCAACCCTAGTGATGAGCATGTCGATTTCCAGCTGGGAAATTTTCTGGAGAGATGACCCTGTTCCCCATCTCTTAAAGGCCCCTTCGGGCCCTGGTTTGATTGATCTTTCATTTTCTAACTATCACTTTGGTTCTAGCCTCAGTCTCTTCCTCTCTTTAAGAAGCTAATGGAGTCTCCTTCCCCAGGGGATGATGATGATGATGGCTGGAGACAATGCAGCTTCTAATGTGCACAACACAGTTCTGGCACAGAGCCAAATACCAAAAATGTTGATTCTATTCTTTCTCTCAGCCAAGTCTATTTGCCAATATGAGAAAAGAAAACTAAAACTACAAAACAGAATATGAGCACCATGATAGTGGTAGAGATATCATTCCTACTTATATCCAGCCTCTGCCATATGCCAGACTTAGCTGAGAAGGGAGGATACATACATGCACAAAAACATGGTCCCTATCACCAACCCCAGGAAAACTGTGGCAAGTCCTGGACAAAAAGATCTCAGAAAGAGAGCAGAAAGCCCTTTACCCAGATCCTCAGGCCTGGGCTGCTGGGGATGTCTTTGGCTGGAGAGCAGGAGGCTGTCCCACAAAAAAAATAACCAAGGTGATTGGCACTTACAAGACACTGTGCCAGACACTGACCTAACTGATTTACAGGTATTACCTCATTTAACTCCTAGAACTGTGTAGTGGTGTAGGCATGAACCTCCTCATTTCACAGATGGCCAATTTGACGCTGAGACTCGCAGTACCTTGACCACTGTAAAGCAACAAGTAAATGGTTTAGGAATCCACCTGCTGGGGGTTTCCACTGGCCCAACTGGAAATCTGAGAGGGTGAACTAGCACAAAGCCCCGTCGGGGGTGGGGGGATGGAGGTGGGGGAGGGCTGGGAATGAGAGAAGGGTTAAGTTGGATCCAAACAAGGCTCACATGATCCCCAGATCCCACGACCCTACGCAGAGGCAGAATAAATTATAGAGATACAGGCTGTAGGGAGGGATGCCTGGGAGGCTGGAGGAGCGGAGCCCCGTGGATGTGCGC